AAGTGATGGCCTAGGCACACTGGATTTTGGATTTCTGAGTGCTCTGGTGGCCTCCGAAGTTGCTATAAGTGGCTAGTACTTGTGATCCATTCTTTTGGCTTTCTAGTACCCAGAGGAAAGATAGTCCCTCTCCCTTTGATAACTCAACTTTCTTTTCATTCTCACTGGAGGTTTATCGGAGGGTTTGTGCAAGGTTTCTATCCAGTCACCTGAATGCTGCAAGGTTAACTTGTCTCTAAATTCAATATTTATCCAGTGCATGCAGTGCAGCTAGCTCATGAGTGCTGTTAGGGTTTAGATCTAAAACAACCACCCAAGCCTCATGTGTTTGGAAGGTGATTGAATTATGGGGCATAATAGGTGACTTGCTGTTAGGAGGTGAGGTCTTGTTGGAAGAGGTGGGTCATTGTGGACATGACCTTCCCAGCTCCTACCTTCACTCTGCATTTCCTGTTCCATGAGGTGAGCAGCTTCTCCTCTGCCATGAACCTCTGCCACACTGTTTTTTCTTGGCAGCCAGCTGACCATGGAAAGCCAAAATAAACCTCTCCTGCTTTAAGTTGTAGGTGTCTGGTATTGTGTCTCTGTGATGGGGAAGTAACTAAGACAAGTACTGTACAGACCCCTTCGTGTGACTGCATTTTGACTCTACTCCCAAAATCCAACATGGGAGATGCTATGGTTTGAAAGACCCTACTAAAATTTCTGTTGAAATTTAACCCCTGCTGTGTGTAACTAAGAGGGTAGAGACTTGATCTGACTATATTATTTGGAGGTGGGACCTTTGCAAGGAAATTAAGAGTAAATGAGGCCATAAATGTGGGGTCCTAAATGAATGGAACTGTGATTTTATAAGAAGCAGAGGAGACCTGTGCTAGGACTCTCGATCTCTCTTTCCCCATGATAACTTAGGTGCCCTGTGATTCTTCAGAATCTCCATCAGCAAGAAAGACATGGCCAGATATAGCCACTGCTTGACTTTCCCAGCCTTCTGAACTGTGAGCTAAATGTTTTGGCTTAGGTCTAGATGTCCCCCCAAGGCCTCATGCTCTCATAGGTAGGGCTTTTTGGAGCTGGCTGGATTGTAGGGATGTGATACTGGGATTAAGGGTGTGTGGTACAAATTAGTCCAGCAAGTGGAATTAGCATAGTTCCGGATGTGGCTAAATGGATTTACTGGAGACAGCAGCTCCATGTTGGTTGTGGGTGGCACCACCCAAAAGGTTTGTAGGCTGTTTGGGATAAAAAGGAAAGGCAGGCTGGATTCTGCTGCTGCTTGATGCTTCACTGCTTCTTGTCTGCCATATCATGCACTATTTCTCCTCTCTGACACCCCTTTGTTATCCTGTCCTTGGAGCCAGCTGACTGAACTGAAAACTACAAAACCGTGAGCCAAATAAACCTTTTCTTCTTTAACTTGTGGGTGTCAGGTATTTTGTTTGAACATTGAGAAAGTAACTAAGGCAATAGATACAGCTCTTTTCCTTTTAAATTATTCAGTCTACAGTATTCAATTATAACAAAAGTAAACAGATTCAGACAGGATCTGAGGAAGAATGTCCTTTCTTTTGGTGCTTCTCCAAAATATTTAACATCATGTCTTCAAGTCGAGGCCTAGAAGGGGAGAAAGGCAGGGATAAGTTATAGTGTTAGCCCTGTATCTTCTCTTATCTCTTCTCTGTGCCCTTGAAAATTTCTCCAAGGTAGTGAAAAGAGCTGGCATTTCTTTGGTTTTCCCCACAGTACGACCTGTTTCTTTGCAGTACCAGCTGAGCTATCACAGTGGGTGGGAGTAGCTCCTCTCTGCTGAAGTCATTTTTTCTTTCTCAGCTGAATGTTCAGAGTTCAGACGTGGATAGACTAAAGGGAAGACAGGAGAATTTAGAATTTTGTCTCAAGGCAATGCATAGTCTGACCTTTATGGTTATCCTGCTGATGCTTATTGCTTTGAGATATACAAGTCCTTCCTTACCATGACTCTATCTGGCCTCTCTAACAAAGTACCTGGCATGGAATGGGACTCTGAGGTTATAACCTTCTCTGTTTCTGGAGAATTGGCTTCATTCTGGTATAATTATGGTTAGAGAAGGAAACAGGAAATTCCAGTACCTTTTCTTTTGGATGATAAGAAAATGTATTTTGCTCTCATAAAAATCTCCAGTGAATGATTATTCTGCTCTTGGGAAATGTGTTTGAATTCTGAAGGTTCAAGTCCATAAGCCCTCGTATGGTCCATTGGATTAAAGAGGAAATGGCCCTAGATCAAAGTAGGAAAATGGATTTGAAGTTAGGAAGCTGAATTCTTGATGCATAGTAGTAAGTTGCTAGGTTTACCAGTCACTTAAATACTGCCTGTCTGACTTCCATGTGTCTGAAGGGAGACAAGAAATTCTTACAAGGCTAATGCTTGCAAATCAAGCTGACTTGAGGAAAGGAAGTGACTACAAGTTGCCAACATTTTGCCCCTGTCACTTTTGACCTCTTTTCCATATATACTCTGCCAGTTGCCTCTAAAAATATAAATCTACTGGTTCCACAGTACCAAAGCCATGTGACTGTAATCCAACTCCTGGATCAAGCAGCCAGAATGAAAATATCCCTCTCACTATTCTGTCCCTCCTACACTCCTGTTGATTACATGGCAAGAAAGCAGGCCAAGATTAGAGACAGGAACTCTCAGAAGATAAAATGAAGTTGTCTCCCATAAAATATTAGGATGTTCATAATTTTTATTTATTTATTTGGATACACACACACACACACACACACACACACACACACATATATATATATATATATATATTTTTTTTTTTTTTATATAGTTTCTCACTGTAAAGTACCCTCTGCTTGG